AAGATCTCTTTTAAATCTGTGTGGAATCAGTTTATTCTTGAGTAGTCTTTAAGTAGAAAGATATGCACATAACATGAAATTATAAAAGTAGAAAGAGAAAAATAATCCATAATCCCTTCTTGGGAACAATGTAACTCTTAAAATGTTGGCATTTCCTTCATATACATTTTTTGCTCATAATTTCCAGACTTGGGCTTGAATTTAATATTTCGCTATTAAAATTATGACATTCAAAATCATTCATTCCATGTTTTATAATCTGCACAATAGCAATCATCCTTCAGTGGCTATTTACAACAAAAAACATGGAAGATTTTTAGAGTCTGCAAACTTTTAGAAATAAATCAATGTTATAAATTTTGATATATCTAGCCTGAAGAAAGTAACAACAGCAAACATAGAATTTTAAAGAAAAAGAGCAGTCTTTATGGTAGGATAGAACTGGAAGAAATTTTCTTTATTGCAATTTATGAGAGAATAACACTCTCATTTCAGACAACTTTTTAAGAGCTGATCAGTTCAGGATTTGAATTTTACAAGAGGATTAATGTCCCTGAAATTCAAATCTGAGGCTGGAAAATAAAGTGCATTGGTGATCTTAAGCAAAGAGGACAAAGATGATGAGATACAAATTATAGGGGGGGGATCACAATAGTGAGTAAAGATTCAAGAGGTACAAAATCTAAAACAAAAATATAAAAGAAGAGTATTTCCAGATGGAAGAAAAAGAATTGAGTTTATTAAAATGGAAAGAAGAAGGAAGAAGAGGAAATATTCTAGAGATCTCATCTTAATTCATATTGCTGAAAAGTAGAAAATTAGTAGAGCATACAGGTAAGGAAAAGATTTCTTAACTTCCAAAAAGTATTGAGTTGTGTACACCTAAAAAAGGAGCAATAGTATCCATACAAAGATTAAAAAGTATGGTGCAATTTCCATGCTAATAAAGAAGTAATGATGATGCACTCATGAATTCACAGCACTTGTGGTTACATGCACAAGATCTGTATAAGATTTGTTCTTCAACCATTCTTCTCTGAAAGACTACTGACCATCATGAGCCTAAGAATGTGCACTTCTCTTTAGGCTCTTGCTTGGACCATTGGCCTCATCCATTCTGTGGTCCAACTGGCTTTTGTAAATTTACCCTTCTATGGAGCCAGCAGAACGGACAGCTTTTATTGTGATTTTCCTCTGTTCATCAAGTTTGTATGTACAGACACATACAGGCTGGAGTTCCTGGTCACTACCAACAATGGTTCCATCCTATGGGCACCTTCTTCATCCGACGGTGTCATACATCTTCATCCTGATGGTGTTGTACATCTTCATCCTGGTCACAGTTCATAAGCACTCCTCAGGGGTTTCATCCAAGGAGCTCTCCATTCTCTCAACTCATATCACTGTAGTGATTTTCTTCTTTGGTCCTTGCATTATTGTCTAAATGTGGCCAGTCCCTACCTTACCCATAGATAACTTTTAAGCAATCTTTGATGTCCTCATCACTCATTATTAATTTTGTTATCTATACACTTAGAAATAAGGAGATGAAGGTGGCAAAGAGGAGATTCATTAAGTTTCAGGAAGAATTCTTTCATGTACAGTTCAAAAGATTCAAATTAATATAGAGCATTCTTGGGAATAAGTCTTTTTTATTTAACAATTTCAAAAGCCTTTTAATTTTCTTTTTTAGCCATTCAATCCTTACCCAAATTTTCCAACCTGTACAAAACTGTTCAATGTAGTCATGTTATTTCTTAAAGAAAGCAATACTAAAAAGACTAAAAAATATTCACTGTGAAATGGTTACTTATTTATCCTGTTTAGGCCTAGTCAGTTATTGCTGGGAAACCTGGACCTAGTGATTGAAAATATCGAGTGAATTCAGCCTAGGAATGTTGTACTTGTATGAGAGCATCATATTTAAACCCAAGACTTCTATGTCAATAAAAATATTAATAATAAAAGAAAAATACACACACACAACTCAGAGTAATGAGTCAAATTCTCATAGAGTTCAGGAGTCTCTGTTTCTTTTTCAGGTGCCTCAAGTAACTGGTGAACAGGTGTGCTCTGATATGCTCCTTTTCATAGTCCCTTGATCTTGTGTATACTTTTCCCTGACAATAATCTGTTGACATTGAAACTCTGTTTCTCATTCTATTATTTTACAGAATAGAACCTTCTCAAGATCAGGAATGTTGCCTCATTTTCTTCTATATCCACAAATTTCTGTCAAGGTTTAAACATTCTATAAACACTTATTAGAGCAAAATTGAAAAATGAAGAAAAATATAAATCCAAAGCCAATGTACAAACAACAGTCTAGAGCAGAATTGTTAAATACTGAGAGAAATATAAATTGTGATAAAATGGTCTAAACACATAAATTTCTGAGATATTAAGAATAAGAATCAAAACTGATACATTTATTTGTAACACTGCATTTGAGGTTGAAAATGCTTCCAAAGACACTGCACATAGCAGCAAAGCAGGGGAAACCATCTGACTCCCACCCTAGTCTTCTGTAAACTCATTGCTGTCTGTTACCCACACACTCCTTTTTAAATGCTTCAGCAAATGAATAGAATATACATTACAATGCAATATTGTGATCATAAAGAACAAGGTACTCTGTCCTTAACTCCTTAGTAGCATGAAACACAGTAAATTCAAACAATATTGTCACTTGTTCATTTTGCCTGGAAAAAGAGTATATGTTACAGACAATAAAGTATAAATTTAATGTAAGCAAATGATGTCCTTGAAATTCATGATCCAGTATAAAGTATCATAGCATGGCTTAATATAGCAATGATCATTCAACAAACTTTTGAATTTTTTAAAAAATTTCTAAATATACAAAATGTATTATGAATCTACTCTCTTTTCATAATTTTTAATTATTTTTATTTTATGTGTATACACATATGGCCTGCATGTAAGCACACTCGTGTCTTGTAATGCCCACAGAGATCAAAAGAGGGCATCAAATCCCCTGGAACTGGATCTATGAATGGTTCTTAGCCACTATGTGGGTGCTGAGATTCAAACACAGGTGTTCTGCAAGAACAGCCACTGCTCTTAACCTCTGAGTCATCTCTCCAGTCCTAGACCTACTCTCATTTTAAAAATTAAAACATCACAAATAAAGTCAAACACCTTTTTATTATGACCCTTAAGTCAGAGTCTCCACATACATGTCTACAGAAAAGCATCAGATAAGCATCATGTGGTATGTTGTCTTCCAGATCTGTCTCCTGTTTGGCATTTACATATATTTGCCTTTGTAAATACTTATGGGTTCACTTTCCTTTCACTCTTTCTACAGATGTTACCTGGAATTAATCAAGATCCAATCAAGAAGGCACATCATACTCAAGGGAGTAACACAAGACAATCAACTGAAAGTATTACATAATCATTTGAGCAGGATTGTTAGAGCTCGAGATTATTTTTTAAAAAATGACAAGAAGGAGCATTTCTGCCCTACAGGGATATGGGGATGAAGGTTGTTCTAGAATCATAAATCAAATCTATAGTTCCAAAAAATGGTTAAGGAAGCAGGAAGTCTAACAGGGGCATAGCAGAGCTACTTCTGTAGCTTGCTATGGGCTGTATTTGTGTTCTGCCATATCACTCTGGGATGTGATGTCCCAAATAGTACTGTAACTTCCCCTTATCTAATTATGTCACTAAATCTAACAAGCCAGTTGTTTCTTCCAGGCATGTTTGTAAGCTAGTAAATTCTATGCTATGCTTCATTTCATACAAAGTATATCTCTGGTCAAACAATATGCTATGTAAAAATATTAGATAGATGAAATGAAGTGTTCTATGAACTCACAAATTATTGAGATGCCTGATATATAGGATCTGTCTTATTCATGGTTTAATCAGTGAAGTAGAAACACTATGAAAGATAGACAATGACGGATTCTTTATAAGAGCTAGAGTTATGCAATGGTAAGCCCTATAAGTCAGTTCAAGAAAGATGCTATCTCATGTTAGAGCTGAACTTAGAGGTGCCAGAGTATGTAAGTGAAAACTGATAACTAATACTGTGCCTGGATCTCTATGCCCCCGGTTTTGATGATGCAGTTGATGACTGGCCTGGGATTGTCATCATAATGATGTACTGGCAACTAACTTGAAACTAGGAGGAATTAAAAGGTGAGAGGCAAGAAACAGAAAAACTACAAGACTACTTCTTCCCCATACTTTCATAATGATCCTTCACACTTATAGCAATGCCTGTGAGGTACCTTGATAATTACCCTGCACCAAAGCACAGAAAGAAAAAAAAAACATAGCTTCATTTTCACATACCAAATATCACAGAAATATTTTTGCGCTGAACTCTGAATGAGAACACATACATACTATGGGAAAAAATGAATGTAGGGGAAATAGGAAAGAAAAGAGAATGATATTTGAAGGGGTTTTAGTACCGTAGTGTTAATTGGGCAGACTATAGTCAAAGATACGCATTCATTAGATTCTTGCTTCTCAGGATCTAAGTACTTGCATAACTAAGCACACAACCAAAAGAGTGTGGAGACTGTATGCAAGAGTGTATGAAAGCTGCAATAAAAGGAGAAGGTGACCCAGCTCCTTATCAATTTGCAAATGATTCTGGAGTACTGTCAAAAATTCCTGCATGGAGAAAACTTCTGTTCATAAAAATAAGACAAAGTTTTTCTCTAAAGGCCTTACATTACCCTTCCCTCTTCTGTACGCCTTGAGTTTCCTCCATATATACATTGTTCTTTGGGAATTGAACTTCTTAATTATTATACACTTTGATTTATAGATATATATAGATTATATATATACATATATATAATTCTTTCTCTGTTTTAGGAAAAATTTGTCAGTCCCTCTGAATAAAAGACAAAAAGTCTTAAATGTTAGTGTAAACAAACAAATCTTAGTAGGCAAAGAGATTTTCACTGAATTTGATCACCTTCTGTGTTTAAGAATGTTCACAATGTAGTTGGTTAAGAGATCCTCCCATGTCTCACTAGCTGTCTGCACACTCTCTTCATTGCTGTCTTCATTTCTTGATTCCTCAGTGTATAGATCACAGGATTCAGAAAAGGAGTGACAACTGCATCAAATATGGCCAGAAATTTATCCAAATGTGTAGAAGGAGAAGGCCATGTATAGAAGAATATCAAAGGACCAAAGAACAGGACTACCACAGAGATATGAGCTGAAAGTGTGGACAGAGCTTTGGAGGAACCAATCGAAGAATGTTTCTGAAGAGTGACTAGGATGACAACATAAGATATGACCAATATGAAGAAGGAACCCACAGAGATGAATCCACTGTTGGCTGAAACCATTAACTCCAGTTGGTTGGTATCAATGCAAGCAAGTCTGATGAACCGAGGAAGGTCACAGTAAAAGCTATCCAACACATTTGGTCCACAGAAAGGTAAGTTTACCACAAAAACAAATTGAACCAGAGAATGCATAAGACCAGCTACCCAGGCAGCCACTAAGAGGAAGATGCACATTTTTGCATTCATAATTGTCAAATAATGGAGAGGCTTACATATGGCAACATATCTGTCATAGGCCATGCCTATGAGCAGCACCATCTCTACACCACCAATGACATGGATGAAGAAGATCTGAGTGACACAACCTTTAAAGGAGATGACTTTGTACTTTCTGAACAGATCATAAATCATTTTGGGACAAGTGACACAGGAAACGCCCAAGTCAATGAAGGACAGGTTGGCCAGCAGAAAGAACATGGGGGAGTGTAAATGAGGATCAGAAGCCACCGTGAAGATGATGAGGGAGTTTCCTGTCATGCTTGCCACATAAAACATGGAGGAGAACACAAAGAGAAGTACTTGCATATCCCAGGAATTGGTGAGTCCAACAAACACAAACTCTGACACTACAGAGTGATTTGTTCCTTCCACTGGCATTGTTTGAAGTGCCACCTGAAGAACAGCAGGAGGAAAATTTGAAAATTATATTAATAGTCTACTAGGTGAAAACTCAAAGTTATGTCCATTTTTAATTTAACATGAAAGCAAACCAAAGAAAAACGAACATATGACCAAGAACTATACATATTTAATCAAGGAACTTACTTAAAGTCAGTGTGAAACATCATTTCAGATATATTAAAAGATTTTATCAAAGAGTAAAAAAACACCAAATTTAGATGGGTATTTAAAAAGGAAACTTTATTCAATGTTTTTGAGAATATAAATTCGTATACTAATTAAAGAAAGCATATAATTGTTCCTGTAAAATTAAAAAATAGGGCCTTGGTATATGACTCAGCTGTAATGTGCATGCCTAGAAATGTATATAAAGCCTGAATTTCAAAGAAAAGAAGAAAGGAAGGAAGGAAGGAAGGAAGGAAGGAAGTTCATGTCCAGCAAATACTGCCGTCTTTCTTCTGCCTGGAATGTTCACTGCCCCCTGCTAGAACCCTTCTGTCTGACTGTGCGATTTCCTCCTGTCTTTACTCAGATCCCGCCCAAAACAGAGGCAGAGACAGAGACAGAAAAATCAAAGGACAAAATTATTAATCAAACCACTTTGGGGATATAGATCTAGAGGAACTGATACCATTATCATCCCATGTTCATTACAGTATCGTTTTTAGTAACCAGGCAGAAACATCCTAAGTGTTCATTTAAAATGAGTGAACAATACACAAAAATACACTGACATGCACAGCTACACACATACACATAAACCTACTTAAACACAATAGAATATTCTTCAGTCTCAGAAACAGGAATCCTGTGTTTTATAATAACATGAATAAAACTGGAGATCATTGTATTAAGTGAAATTAAAGTCACAAGAAAACAAAGGCTGTGCAAGGTGTAGTGGTGCATGCCTTTAATCCCAGCACTTGGGAGGCAGAGGCAGGTAGACCTCTGTAAGATCAAGGCCAGCCTGGTCTACATAGTGAGTTACAAACTAGGTGAGACTACAGGGAGACCCTGTCTAAAAAAAAAAACACTTTTAATATGTAAAATTTAAATTGAACATGATGATTGGTTTCTGGCGATCTGCTATGCAGCTTGGCAATTAACGACTATATTGTGTGATTGAAAACTGCTAAGAGAAATCAATGTTCTCACAGAAAATAAGTTTTTGTGGGAAATATGTTCATTAATTTGATTTAATATCACAATATATTTATACATTAAAATAAAACATTGTAGATCACAAATTATGTTATATTTATTTATTTGTTTGTTTGTTTATTTATTTATTTATTGTGTCTACATAAAACTAGATAGAGGGCTGGAGAGGTGATTCAGCAGTTAAGAGCACTGACTGCTCTTGCAGAAGATCTGGATTCAGTTCCCAGCACCCACATGACAGCTAACAACCATCTGTAACTCCAATTCCAGAAGACACGACACATTCCTCTGGCCTGCGCAGGCATTGCATGACATGGGTAAACTTACTTATGTGCAGGTGAAACACTAATACACATCAAATAATATATTTTAAAACCTAGACAGATTTGAAATGGCAAGCGCACATGGAGGCTCATCCCTGTCATGTAGTCTTCTGAACCATGTAATGATTCTGAATTAATTTACTCAGTTTTCCCCTAGCATAGGTACAATGATGATCCTCATGAGATAGAAAGTTCATCAACATGGAAAAAAATTCTTGCCCAAGGAAGATTGATTTTTACTACAAAACTAGTATCTGCTCTTCAATCACACAAAGTAACCGAGTTTTATTCTTCCAAGACTTCAAATAATCTGATAAATAAAGCCCTTCATCCCAGTTGCCATCACTGAAAAAATAATTAACTTCCAACTTTACAAAATGTTTTTAATATGAGGTACTGACTTAATCAGCATTATTTATTTTAGTAATCAATGATTTAGTTAAGTAGTCACAAGATTAACTCACCAGACAGATGCGGTGTAGATTTTTTACTTTCTCGTATTTACATTCTCTGAAGCAATGAAGAACTGGTCCACAGAGACCGGTGGTTTATTAAGTCCACTTACCAGTCTACACCACGTTAGGTACAGAAATTTTTTCTAAAATTCTTTAGCCATATGACTTTAGAGCAAAAGTGTCTGATTTTGCATTCCAGCAAAGTAACAGTACCCAAAGTGCAAGAAGAAGGTGGGAATCCCTGCTCTGGAAAACTTAGCTCATGAACAGGAAGTTTAAGCTCTTGAAAGTAGCCATGACATAGGAGAAAGCATCTTGTTCAAACGTTGACAAAAGAATTTATCACATGATATTCAAGTTCTACTTTTACTTAGAGAATAAACATAGCACAGGAGACATAGGATGGATTTTGGATTCTGAAAAGCACAGTTCATACCATGGTTCAGTCACTGACAATTCATTCCAGAAGTTCAGTTCATTAATCTATGGAATAAATTATATGTACCAACCTTTTGTGTTACGTTTTAGGGAAAATAAAAGCTCAAAATCGTGTATTCAGTATGTAGGCATTCTATATATAGAAAATCAATCAGCATTGGTACTATTTTCCCTTTTTATCATTTGTCTCCAGTACTGCTGAACACAGGAGATAAACAATGAATGGAAAAGAGGGCAACATCTCCAGTTCTGAAAGATTTCAAAATATATTAACTATTCATTTATTCATTTTTAGCAATAGAGTCTTCAAAATATATTCACCATCTCCTAGTCAATAATAAAGCATAGTATCCATGTTATTTTAGTGATCAAAATATGCTTTCAATGTAATTTAAATGTATTTGCTCTCAAAGATCACTGTATGCCTCCTTAGTGATTATAAGTATAATTCATTAAGTTTTCCTTCCCAAAGAGACTACAACTCTCATCTATTTAAGGACTACATCTATATTCTGTATAAACTATCCTAAAACTCAGAATCACAGTGTAATGCAAATAAATATTTTCTGAAGCATAGAAATAATGTATTTGTATGATTTCAAATGCACATGAAAATACTTGTGCTTATATAATTTTAAAAGACAGTAAACTTGCACTGAGGAACATACTGGTATATAAACGTGACTCAATAGGTCTTAACATATATGACAGAATGCATGAAATCCAATGGAGGAAGTCTTGAAGGAGTATGGATGGGGTGGGCATATAAAGAGGATTAAGTTATTTTGTATAAAATGTGCAAAAATTCAATAAAAATATGTATTTCAAAAGACTATAAAAGAAACTTGCAGAGTTCTTAAGTGCCAGAGAAATTAGAAAATAAAAGATTATAAAAATGAAGGGAAGAAAATCAGATTAAAGGAAATTTTTAAATCACTATGAAATTTGAAAAGGGTGCATAACTATGCAGAATAGGAAAAAAGCTCACTTTAAATTAAATAAAAGTAAATTTATTCAATTTGCATTGCTTTTGTGATCATTGTTGAGAAGCTGACTAGTTACAACAAGCTGCTTCAAGTTTAGTGCCCCTATGTTTATCTCCTGAGTTCAAACAATGTGCCTATAACCTATGCGTTTTTACCTTTCAAATTGTCATGAAACCTGTTTTATGCCCAAATAAATCCAGACCCTTCTAATTTAAGAATGACTCTGTTTCTATTTATTATTGGAGAAAAGAGAAATAATTCTGTATCCTCTTCAGAAAAATACTATGTACATAAATTAAACAAGATGACCCACATTGATTTTTAATTTTAAGATTCAGTTAACACCATACATTTTGCAATATATATTTTATTAACCTTGATTCTCTTCCTCACTTTTCCTCACTCCAAGAAAAATTAAACATTTCCATATGTTAAAACTCTTGAAACCCTTATCCATCTTACTAACAGTTCAGGCATACAATTAATACAAACACTCATTATAAACCACAGGAGAAAACAAGAAAAATAAATCAATTCCTGTTATAAGTATTCTTATGTTTTAAATTTCTCCACATCACATTGCAAAATGACTTTACACTGGAAACTATTCAGCATTTGAATTTTATTTCTGCTGAGATGTCTGTGGTACTAGAAAATTTGCTTCTACTTCAGTAAAGATGAGTTTAGGTTCACTTCTTTTTAAATAAACCAGTGGGGGGGAAAGGTAAGCTTGGTTTTTTATTTGATGTATCATCAAACTTTGCTAATCTACCAAATGGTTAGATGATTGGATCATTCATGTGTTCATCACTGGAAATAAAATAGTTGCATCTGTACTAAATTCAAAGTGTTGCAAAGCTGTTTGATGTTTGCCACAGGCATTTTCCTGTCGTTCTAGCTCAAAGTCAAATTCAATTAAACTTTTCCAATCAGTTAACTTTTTTATAATTATTTTCCTCTTATGTTCAATTCATTTTCCTGGGTGTTATATACTCTAGGCTTACTAAAACATATTAGGATACGATTCACATTCAGAGCAATTTTAACAAAAGAATAGTATCTACAAATAAAGCCAGTTTCTCATTGTTTGATCTTCTCCATCCATCTATTTTACCTGTATAAAAAGAAGAGCATCTTCCCAGACTGGTTTCCCTGCTTTCTCTAACCTGAAATCCTAAATAATAACCTACCATAAAAATATACAAAGCTAATTACACATGGCTCATGAGACCAGTGAGCAAAAGATACTGCAAACACTTAATAGTTTAAAATGTACTTGTGGTTCAGAGACTTTCTCCCTGGAGTACCATTTGATTTGTCCAGTGTAACTAAAAAATTTCAGATCCTATGAAGAATTATAGGGAAAGAAACAAAAATTGAAAATTTTACATCATTGTACTATTTTCCTATAAACACTGAAAATTGATCGCTATAATTAATCACTAAATATAGATAAATATTAACTCAAAAATTAATTATAAATTATCAACGGAGCACTTCTGAAAAATACGTTACATTCCAAACATGCACTACATGCAGCCAACAGACATGATTTTCCCAATCCCAGAATTCTCTCTCCAGCTACCAACATTCCCAGACTTAGCTAGGGTCCC